TAACTCACGGATATTCGTAACTTCGAGACTAGAATTTACCACGTCAAAAAAATGTCAGTTCAGTTCAGTATGCATAGGACGAAATGTGGCTTCCAGCCAATTGAGCGTCCAGAGTGTTGAGTCGTTGGCTGGTGTTTGTAGCTTCATCAAGGATCCGGGACCATTGGGCACCAACCACGAACCCGAGAGTCAATTCAAGACTTCAAGACAACACAACAACACTGCGTATTACCGATTCCAGCGATCGACTGTTGGTGGGTCTAGTTGTCTCTGTCCCCAGTATACGTTCCCAGCTGGGATGTTTCTGAAAATAGACAGACGAGACTCAACGGTCTAGGCCCGGGCCAAGCTGCCATAGGTTAATATGAATGACCCTGATCCTGACCACTGACACGGCGGAATTGTCATAAAATGTAAAATGTTGGCACCTGTTAGACTCACAGAAAATACCTAACAGAAAACACCTTTCTCTAGCATAAATTCACCTCTGTAACGTCAAACATTACCGGCTACCATTTTACTTCTCAGTAGGCCGCTTCTGGGTAGACTTGATTGTACGAAGAAAAGGAGCAATCCATGAGGACGTTTTCCGTTCATATTTTCTTCACAATCAACTCTGACTCGAACTGTGATATTTCAGACGTTTTCCGTTCATATTTTCTTCACAATCAACTCTGACTCCAACTGTGATATTTCTTTATTTTACCTCTGTTTGCTTTACCGAGCACGGTTTTCCGCTCAGGCGTATATATAAGCTGGGTCCTGTCAACCCCCGTGTGACATGCTTTCGCTTTGCTACTGCATTTATTGCTTGCATTGTTTAGAGTCACCTCGGCACGTTTTGGTACTATCTAGTACAGCGATTCGCCAATAAACGTTTACGACTCCCACGAGTGTTTTTGTCTACCTCGGGCAACGAGACACTAGGAGGTCGCGCGCATTTTGAGACTCGTAAGAAGACTTACCGGCAGTCCGTCAAAATTGGTTAGCTTCATTGGTGAGCCCGCACCTTCCACTTTGTAAGTCAATTCCAATTGGGTTTGAACTTTTTCCTCACGGTTCATTATCACTTGCACGATATATTTCTTTATCGCATTTGCGCAATGTCCAAGGAACGTCCACCGGTAGTTTTAAGCCAGTAGCCTTCATCCCTCATGACCCCGAGGTATGGTTTACTGCGTTAGAAACGCAGTTTGTCGCCCGTAACGTGCGGAGCCAGCGATCCAAATACGTTTACGCAGTAGAGGCGATCCCTGGCGACCGAATGTCCGCCATCAGGGATATTATCCTTAAACCACCGGAAAAGGATGCGTACGATGTTCTGAAGGCTGCAATCCTTCAGTTCTATACCCCCTCTAACGAGGAGAGGTTGCGCCAGTTGCTGGCTCGTCACCCGATCGGTGACACGACGCCAAGCAGGCATCTGGCGCGTCTACGCTCGCTAGCCGGCCCAGCAAACGCCCACTCTGACATTGTCAGAGAGCTGTGGCTCGAGTCGTTGCCACGTCACGTCCAACCGACGATAACGGCTCTGCTGGAAGATTCCTCAATCGACAAAGCTGCGTCGATTGCAGATAAGATAGTTGCACGTGTCGGTAATGAGGATAATTTCCTCGTTGCCACGACATCGCAACCGTATAGGGGGAACAGGGATAAATATGCGGTACGGCCTTCACAGCCACGACCACATTGCATACACCAGCGTTTGTCTTTCAAGGACAGAGTCCCGGTGCCCACAGCGAACCCCTATAGGGCTAAGCCTAGGTTGGAACGGGCAGCACAGCCTGCCCACGTTCGCCAAAAGCAACCAAAGGTTCAGAAGCCACCCTCGCGCAAACCACCCAAAGCCCCGGATGACCCAACTGAGGGTTACTGCTGGTTCCATCGTAGCTATGGACCAGGAGCTCGCAGTTGCAGGAAGCCCTGCACCTACGCGACGGGAAAAGGGTAAGCCGGCGAGTAAAAGCGGCCGTACTCGCCGGCCCGCCTCCTCAGGTTGGCCGCCTGTTTTTCGTACGTGACCATCATACGAACGCTAGGTTCCTCGTAGATACGGGAGCCCAAGTATCAGTCTTTCCTATCGGTAGCAGCAAGCCACGAGCTACGACGCTTCGGCTATGCGCTGCGAATGGCACTCCCATTCCTACCTTTGGAACAAGACAACTCACGGTCAACCTGGGAGGGCAACGACGGTATCCATGGACGTTCATTCTTGCGAATGTTCCCACTGGAATACTGGGTATCGATTTTTTGCAGTACTATGAATTGCTTGTCGATTCACGTAGACTGCAGTTGATCAACCCAGCGTCGAATATCAAAGTCACGGGTCTCAAAGCCCGAACAGACGTTTACCGAATCACGGGTTTAATGCCTGATATCCCAGTGGATTTCCAGACATTGATCGCCCGATTCCCCACGTTGACTAAACCTATCGAGGATCTAACACTAGTGACTGATCGTTGTGCACACTACATAGTCACTAAGGGTCCACCAGTCACGGCACGACCTCGCCGACTGGCACCGGACAAATTAGCTTTTGCTAAGAGTGAGTTCGACACGTTACTTTCAAAAGGTATCGTACGTCCTTCTCATAGTCCTTGGGCCTCTCCTCTACACATGGTTCTTAAAAAAGACAGCGTTAGCTGGCGACCATGTGGCGACTATCGGTCACTTAACGCCGTGACTCGTTTCGATAGTTATCCCATCCCGCATATACTCGACATTACGGCTTCACTTCATGGCACGATTATTTTTCTAAGATCTATCTGGTACGAGCTTATCATCAGATCCCGGTCGCCACTGAAGATGTCGAAAAGACTGCTGTCACGACTCCTTTCGGTCTGTTTGATTTCCTACGTATGCCTTTTGGTTTGCGTAACGCTGCTCAGTTTTTCCAGAGGTTCATCGACAGTATAACTCGAGATTTAGATTTTGCTCACGTTTACATTGACGATTTGCTTATTGCCTCTTCCAATGAAGATGAAAACTATCACCATTTGACCTTGCTATTTCAACGTTTATCTGATAATAGCATTGTGGTTATTCCTGATAAATGTGAGCTTGGCAAAAAGGAACTGATTTTCCTTGGCCACAAGGTCACACATGAAGGTATTTTGCCATGCGAGGATAAAGTACGTGCTATCAGAGAGTACACTCTACCATCCTCAGTCAAAGACCTGAAGGCGTTTTTGGGTTTAGTGAAATTCTATAGACGATTCATCCCACACGCCGCTGAACGATTGCAACCTCCTACGGACCTACTTCGTGGTAATCCACGTAAGCTCATGCTTACGGATGTCGCACAAGTAGCATTCTAAGAGGTAAAGCGCAGACCATGCTGCTTTTGCATCCTGTTACTGTGAGTCATCTACCGTTTCACAACCAGCGACCAGACACAGGCACAGGCGCTTCTATATAAATAAATAAATGCATATTTCACGAAGCCCGTGAAGCATGACCGTATATGCAATAAGATATATGTACAACAACGGTGCAGGCATATGGAAGGTCTAATGAGGAGAGACAAACAATGGAGTGGAACGAATACTGCAGTGCAGACGGAACACAAAGCAAACACGGTCAAGGAAGTAAGCGTTGAGGATGGAGGAATGCAAGACGTAGGCATGTCAATGAAAATTGACTGAACAGAAAACTTTATATCAATAGGATGATAAGAGGTTTCAACGTGCAGCGCTCGTGAGAGAAAATGCGGAGAGAAGGTCTGTGAAATAATGAACGAGGGAAGGTGGGGACATGCAGTTGGAAATGAATAGGAAGAAACAGTACAGCGAATTCATAAATTTGTAAAGTAAATGTTTTTCTGCATGCTGCAACACAGCTTGCTTCTGAAATGACACTCATCGGCTTCGGGGCCTCGATCAGTCATGGAATGATTTTGATAATTTAGGCTACCTGATTAGCATGTGTCGCGGATTGGTGAGAACAGATGGAACGTGAACAGTTAAGATTCGGAGGAATGACATTTATTGGTGTCTATACTTGAAGAAGGTGTAACACTTCTTCATGTACAGACAGCAATAACTCTCATTGTCTTATATCATACCTGACCATGTTCCCGTCTGCACTCACCTATCCGTGACACATGCCAACCAGGAGGCGGTTTTCACATTCAACCAATTTCCACTGACTGACCTATGTAGTGCATTCCTCCATTCTCCTCATTTAACTTCTTGACTTTTTCCGTTTTGTGTCTCGTTTTTCACCGCAGTTTTCGTTCCCGCTTGCATCTCTATGGTGCATATCTTGTTATATGACCTTCCATGTACCTCCGCTGTTGTTGTACTTATGACTAATTTGAACTTATGATCATGCTTCTTGCATGCTTCACGGGTTTCGTAAAATATACATAATAATGTTATTATTTGTGTTAAGTATTCACCATGGAATAAAATATTCCACTTAATAAGCTTTAAAGCGCGATCTATGGACCAACTTTGCTGTCTTCGGTCTTGGTGCCCCTCCCCACACGTCCTTATAACCAATGACTTTAACGCTCTAGCCATTGACTGGGTTAGGACAAATTCCAGTGATGTATTCTTTGGTCAGCCCCTTCTAAACCTTATTACTGAGGGATCATGGCACCAACATGTGTGCTCTTCCACGAAGTTTAGCCCGGGCCATTCCCCTTATTTACTCAATTTGGTGATAACGAACGATCGGCACAAAATCGACGGGGTTCACTCTCTCTGGCCACTTAGTAAGAGTGGCCACTCTCTTGTGAGCTTTGGCTTCATCGTTCATTGACCGTCTTATAAGTCAACACCAAGAACCGTGTGGTCCTTCAAAGAGAACGATTTTGCTGCTCTAAGAGATTACTTGGCAACAAATGTGACTCTTGTTACTTTATCTTCAGAAACAAACGGGCTCAATGATCAAATTGAGAACGTACTCCAAACAGGCGACTTCTTGTTTATTCCCAAGATATTTGCCCCCATCAAAATTGCCCTTATCTACCATGTTCAATACGTCGACTTCTGGACAAACGGAACGTCCTCTTTGCAAAGTACAAGCTCACAAACTTGGATGGTGAAGCGGATAAATTCAGATATTTCCGAAACCTATGCAAGAGCAAGATTAGAGTTCTTCAACAGGCAACAGAAAGGTATCCTGGTCAAGGCAAGAAGAAATCATTCTTGCTTCTTGAAATATCGTCATTAAAGACAACTGAGTTCCTCTTTTCTAGCCCTAAAACTTCCTGAAGACCTCCCAATTACCTCATTTGACGGGATAGCAGACACCTTGTGAACACACTTCCAAAATATTTCCAACTTCGCTTTAACTAGTTCCTTTCCGTCTCTACGGCCTAAGCCAGATAAAGCCTCCATTGAGCACTTCATTGTTCAGACAGAAGAAGTACTAAAACTTCTGAAGTCAATAAACCCTTATAGCTCAATGGGCCCATACAGGGTCCATCTCAGAATACTTAAAGATACAGCAGTTGTACTAACATCACATTACGGGCGGCTGTTTCAGGAATGCCTGGATAAAAGTGAATTACCTGATGCCTAAATAAGGGCAATCATATCACCGATCTGCAAGTAGGGACCCCGGCATCACCCCTGCAGCTACAGATCTATAATTCTAACCAGCGTCCCCAGTAAAATTCTTGAACGTCTCGTTGACAGACATATTACTGAACACTTGAAGGAAAACAACCTTCTTTCCCCTTTTCAACACGGTTTCCTTCCTGGCATATCATGCATCACTAATATGCTATATGTCATAGAAAGTCTAACCCAAGCTTATGAGGATGGTAAAGTCTTACACGCAATCTTCATCGATTTTTCCAAAGCCTTTGATCGAGTACCCCGTTCTCCACTAATGCACAAGTTGGAAATGTATGGTATTAGCGGTAGGCTCCTTAATCTTCTAGACAGCTTTAAATTCTCTCGCTTCTTCTCTGTTAGAGCACGAGCTTCTTTCTCCAACTCTTCCCCGATGACAATAGGTATTCCACGGGGATCCGTCCTAGGTCCACTTCTTTTCATTTTATGCATAAATGACCTCCCGGACAAAATCCCAGTCCACATTGCTATCTATGTTGGCGATATCACAATCTGGGGTAATGACACATTAGCAGTGCGTGCAGCCATGGATATTACCAAAGCATAGCCATCAGACTGGAGCCTCCCAATAAATGATGACAAATGTGTCCTTTGACAGGGACTGCGCGCACTCCTCCAATCTGTGCAACACATCCCGACTTCGGACTGTCAACCAGCATAAGATCCTTGGCTTCTGGTTAACTAACTCTTCATTTTTTTCTTACCGCCACCAAAAGCCCGCAAAAATGCTTTTGAGGTACTAAACTTTATCAAGCGCTTTGATAAAGAAGACTTTCAACTCTTATATGGTACTCATGCAAGACCTCTGTTAAAATACGGAGTCCAAATTGCTTACTCTGAGCTTTTGGACGATCGTAGCTTCCCCGAACGAGTTCAGCAAGCAGCCACGAAGCTACCATCAGGTCTCTTCGCATTTCCCACCCGTCTCACCACACTAAACCTTTACCCCCTAAACACCCGCCGCATTCGAGCGGACCTTTTCCTTGTTTTCTATGGACAAGGTTAACCATTTTTTCACCCCCTGTAGCCTTGATACGCTTCGTGGGCACAGCACAAAGCTGTTAAAGCCTAGGTCTCGCACGCGAGTCCGTCACTGGTTCTTTACCCATAGAGTCATTCCTTTATGGAACAGTTTCCCGCAGGNCAGGAGGTTGTTAACGCACCTTCAAAGACATGTTAAAGCACAAGCTGGATATCTTCCCTGGTTTCAAACACGCTATTACCAACTTCCATCAGTTGCTCCCTCTCAATTTGCTCATCTACCTCTCGATTCACCACGTTCTCATTTTCAATGCATCTATCCCAACTGCACTGAGTCATACTTTTTGTTGTAGTTGTTGTGTAATTCTATGCAATTTTCCAAGCT